GTATGCTGTCTAGATTTGCCATAGCTTTCCTCCCCAGGAGCAAGCGTCTTTTAATTTCTTGGCTGCAGTCCCCATCTGAGGTGATCTTGGAGCCCAGGAAAATAAAATCTGTCACTACCTCCATATGCAGTTGACATCCTGCCTATTCTCTGCATAAAATCCTTTTTTAAAAAAAAAAAAATTGGGGCTAATTTCCTTCAGTCTTCAATACCACTTCTTCAATAAAGATGAGCTCTCTACATGTTGATCAGCTATCAATACACCTCAACAAGAACTGCTAAATTAAATAAAAGTCTCAATTAAACCAAAACCTTGAGAGCAGCAAAAAATAAAAAAAGCAATGCGAAAAGTTTGCTTAAAACAGAAGTTTTGATTGCCAGAAGCACTCTGCTCATTTTGTTGCTTTTGTTAAATTGCTATCATTACAGAAAAAGCATTAAATTATTGTTGTGACATCATAAGTCTGAAAGGAAGAGGGTAATAACTAAAGATTTAAAAAAGATGTTTACCCAGCAAAATGATCAGGTTTTTAATAGAATAATTTAAAGGTGTAAACAAATCTACAACAGTTATGTAAATTTAAGCTTCATTCATACTTTTGTGCTTGGAATTTATCCACGCTCTAATATTTAGATATTTAAATATCTATTTAAATTTAAATATTTAATATTTAGTTGGAATAAAACCAAGTCCAGATATAAAATCTTAGTTATAAACTTTAATCAACAATGAAATTAAAATGTAATTGATTTGTATAGTTATTGTGGATGTCCCGAACATGCTGCTTGTGCTTCATGTCTTTGTGTGAATGATTAAAATAGTTTATATCATTGGCACAGTGACATCTTAATATATGTGACATTGAACCTCCCTTCCCAATCTTCCCTGTAATTACCCAAAGGCAGAGTCAACACAGAATTTGTTACTTTTGTTAAAATAAAGAAAAACATTGTACTATTGTGATGCAGGTTCTGATGTTTTCTTATCACAATACACGTAACAGTCCAGCAATGCCCCAATGCTGGTTTTATTACTTCACCGCTACTAGCCTGTTTGGGACACAGATATAGGAAATCCTCAAAGGTACTACATATTTTGCACAACACTCTGTCTTTGACAATTTCTTTGACAATTACAGTGTTGAAAATATCATAGGTCATGTGGGGCAAGGAACCTTGGAGGAATCAAGGCACATACCTGTATGCAAACTGGTGCTGCAATGTCATATTGGTGTCTGAAGTACACAGATGGACTTTTATACCATACTCTGTTTGGTGCTTGACTGAAAGCACTTCTAAAATTGTGGGTTAATGAAAAATTCTGCTGTCCCTCATAAGTCAATTAAGGGATAGAAACATTCTTACTTTTTATAAGCAAATTTTGTAAAAGAGAAACTGTCTCTTTTGGCTGCTTAAGGACCTGCTCCTGGCTATCTCTCCATGTCTGAGGAGTATCTTCCAAAGCAAAGATCGAAAAAGAGATGGCTGTTTTCACAATTCAAAAGCAGGGGTTTTCTAAAGTGCTTTTGTGCATTCTGAAACATTTTTTTCGTGGAATTTGCATAGACAGGATTTCAGGATTTCAGGATTTCAGGAATTGTATTATAAAGTATGAAGGAACAAAATAAAAAAATATATGCTTTAATCAATAGGAGTTTGCCTCATACCATAAACCAAATGCTAATTCTCATTTTTATCATTTAGTAAAATGTATTTATCTGAAAATGTATAAACTAATAAGAATTTTGTTTCAGCCTCTGTATTGAAACAAGTGTTACTTACCTAAACCTTGAATATATTTAATGTTCCCACTATCCTTTTTTTCCATTTTTTTTTTTTAGAAAGTATTGATTTATTTTGAACATAGCTTTGGAAGTTTGTTCTTTTTTCATGGAAAAACTAAAAGAAAAGTCATCTTGAATCAGATCAGCACCATCTTTCCCATTGCTTTCCAGAACTTTAAAGATAATATTTTCATCTCTTTAGGCAATACTTCACATTTAAAAAAAAACCAACAACCACTCACAACCCATTTAATTCATGCAAAATGGATGCCTGTAAGTTGGACATTGTCCATCACTGAATTAAAAGTAGAAGATACTATGTAAGCAAACAGAAATAATTTTAAATGAACCTGAGCATAGTTTATTAGGAGAGAATGAAACTCGGTGAAGCAAAACCACTATATTTGAACAATGAATACATATTTTAAATTTCACTGGATGTGGTTCCTAATTAATACCTGAAAATAGTGTGATGGCTTCCCCAGATGCCTTTCTAGACACCAATTCTGATGAGGAAGAGCCATTCCAGGCACATCAGAGGAGAATGTGGAGGAATGTCCAGAGGTTGCCAGAGGCTCCAAGTCAGGAGTGGAGAGGCCAAGCATTATGGAGCTATTGCAGGAGGGAGTAACTGGACAAGTGGCTGGCTGATCTAGGGACAGAAGGGACACAGCTGCAGCTGGGAATTCCCAGGCTCCAGTTGAACAGAGCATGCAGTTGCAGCTGGCCAGTGGAGATGAGGAAGAACTGCCTCCTCTTCCTGATCCAAGACTGCTGAGAGCTGAGAGGAGGCAGGCACAATGAAGGTCAGCCAAGCTACTTCCGAGGTGGCAGCCTCATCCTTCTTGGTGGAGTGCACCAGGCAGCAGCTATTTAGCTCAGCAAGTGGAGTGAAACAACACTGGGAAGAACGCATCCATTTCCTTGCCTTGCATTTGTCAACCTCTGTGTTTCTTGCCTTGAATGTCCTTTCCTGACTTGGACTGTGTACCTTGCTTGCATCTTGACATCTGGGCTTCCTTCATGGATTTTGCCTTTGCTTCACGGACTTTCCTTAGCCTTCAGGACTTGTCTTGCCTGGTGGATTTATATTGGGTTTGTTCCTAGACTGAACTGTGAACTCTTGGGGGATTGTGTGGTTGCTGACATGGGAATTTCTGGAGAAGACTATTTGGGATTGGGAAAGCCTCAGATAAAACCTTTATCCCACCTGTGATGTGTGTGTATGTGAATGGAATCAGGACATTTATCTTAATGGCTGGTGTTTCCATTTAAACTGAATTGAAGAGCCAAACTAGGAGTTGGTTTTCATCTAACTAGTGTATTGCCTAACAGTCACATTGCTGCTGCCTGGTAGTATTCATAGGTCTACTGGATCTGGACTGCAAAACACCAGAAAGATACAGAAAACTGTTGTTGCTAATAACTACCTAATGTGGAATTTTTACAACTCAGAACCTTTAGTCCTATAAGTATTCATTTATATGAAAGTTGGCTGTAGACCTCAGTTCTTCACAATATCGGGGCACAGATGATGCCTTACAATTTCCATAGACTGCATTAGCACAACATGATGTGTTAATTGGTCACAGATTGGTCACTGGAGATTTTCAAGAAGAGGCTAGACAGTCATTTGTCTGAGATGGTATAGGTTCTCCTGCTTGAGCAGGGGGCTGACTAGAAGACTTCCAAGTCCCTTCCAATTCTATTCTATTCTATTATGATAAATTATTAAAATTGCCAGTTTGCTTTCACACAAAATTTGTACTTTCATGAAATAGTGTTTCTGTTTGTAGATCAGAATTATTCTTACAGATTTTAATATTTCTGTAAATTGTGATGACTGATAGTGTTTTGACTCTATCCATTTTCTACATTTCTTCCTCAGTAACAAAAATAATAAACCATTTGTGTTATGGTCATATATATATATAAATTGTCAATCATGGTAATAGAGTTCAAGAAAGATTATGGCGATTGTTGCCCTGAAGGCAACATTTTTAATATGTGAAATTACAATGAAAATAATGAATTACTAAGATTGCTATCTCAGTGTATATTAAAAGCAATTAGGAAGAAGGAATAATATTGAGTCTCTGTGTGTGTCTATGTAATTTAGAAATTTTTCAATCAACAAAGAGAATCAGTCAGGTTGGGCAAAATACAATGCTAGCAGATTTGAACCATTTGTTGATAGGAGTGTATTTTCATTTCAATCTAAGGGAATGTGTGTGTTTGTGTGTGTGTGTGTATGAGAGAGAGAGAGAGAGAGAGAGAGAGAGAGAGAGAGAGAGAGAGAGAGAGAGAGAACTACAACTTTTGCAGGACTCGATGACATTCACTCTTAGTGGATAGAAAGAGCTATAGTGACTCACTTCTAGGATTCTTTGTATGACTGTTTAAATTGCATAGAAGTACACATTTCCACAACTAAATCCTAGAGTGTAAGTTATTGAATTAGTACCTTTAAAGAAACAATATTTGTATTATTTTGGAACTCAATGCAGTCCAAAGAAGAAATATTTAAGAATGTTAATTGGGTAACAGGAAAAAGCCCATGCTAAGCTCTTCTGTCTCCTCCCATATGGCCATGGGAACTAGTTCAGAATGTGTACAGCTCACCCTCTTTCTCAGCACACAAAATCCCACCCAGATATAACATATCCAGGAACATAGGGGAAAAGGAAAAGTAGAAACATATCCAGAGATGCAATATATCATACTTTGTAATCCCAAAACAGGATGCTGGAAGGAATTCCAGAACTTATTAAACACCTAGTTGGTGCAGTACAGACTATGGTACCAACTGCAGCATTTTGATATTGTGCAATATCTTAAAGTTACGAGTAGTCAATAATATACTTCTTATTCCAGTTAATAGTTTATTTTGCAGTTTTGTTTTCATGGACTTAGTCCAAGCAAAATTCAAAGAGAGGTTGTTGTCTTTGTTTTAATAAACAGGATTTGAGAATTAAGCAATTCTTCCATAGAAACCAATGTAGATGTTAAAATGCTTCTTTTGATTATATTATATTCCATGTTTTTTTTACTAACAAATGCCTGACTCTTAATTACATATCCAAAAAAGACAGAAGTCTACATAATTTTTCCTTCAACTGAAAACATGTTTATACTTTTTATAGGCAATCTCTCCAAGTACTGAACTTGTTCCGATAATGGAGACTTTTTGACTAAGGATTTAATTCCTTCCCCACAGATGTGAATGAGTGTGAAGCTGAACCCTGCAAGAATGATGGTATTTGTACAGATCTGGTAGCTAACTATTCCTGTGAGTGCCCAGGTGAATTCATGGGAAGAAATTGCCAATATAGTAAGTATATCCTAAATACACAAATTTCACCCTGATTCTTCTAGTGCTAGTGTGTAACTGTTAAAAGTAAATATTTATGAAAGAGGATCAAAAATCAATATTTAAATGAAGATAACATAAAGCTGGCTGAATTAATACAATCTCTTGTAGCCATTGTAGATTTATAACTACTCTCTATAGAATACCTCAGCAGCTTTTTCTACATTCTACTATTTTAGTAGAATAATTTTTATAATTATTTTCAGAATTCACACAATTCTGCATTTTTTTCCTCATCTTTTTCTCTTTTTCCCCTGGTAAAAAGAGATAGATAGATAGATAGATAGATAGATAGATAGATAGATAGATAGATAGATAGATAGATAGATAGATAGATAGATAGATAGATAGATAGATAGAAAGAAAGAAAGAAAGAAAGAAAGAAAGAAAGAAAGAAAGAAAGAAAGAAAGAAAGAAAGAAAGAAAGATAGGTGGGATTCAGCCAGTTCGCACCAGTTCGGCAGAACCGGTAACTAATTTTTTGTTGCCCAGGCCCAGAATGGACTTCCGGAAGTGGCATCCACACAGAGAACCAGTTGTTCACATATTTGAATCCCACCACTGGAGATAGATAGATAGATAGACAGACAGACAGACAGACAGACAGACAGACAGACAGACAGACAGACAGACAGACAGACAGACAGACAGACAGACAGACAGACAGACAGAAAATAGATAGATTGGTTTTGTATAATCGTGTTTGGGATTATATTTATGTATTCATCTTTTAATTCAAGGAAGGAACAAAGCAATATTTACCGATTGCTCTTTCATCATTATCATTCTTATTTGGAAATGTTAAAAGGAAATAATGGATGTTTTAATTATGAAAATTTATCATTTGTTCTGGTCTTTGGGAACAAGACAACTTTAAATCTAAAAGAACTATAAACTATTTAGAATCATTGTTATTGTGTACATGTAGCAAAGAAACATAAATAAATAGTCAATTAATCATGGACTATAAAGAAGCTAATTGGTTACTACATGAATATAAAACTCAACAGCATTGCTTACAATTTACTCTTAAGTTTGTATATGAAAAATTGGTAGCTCAGCAGTGGGTGGTCCAATTTTATAAGCCTCAGTTTCATGTGTCATCCTTGATTAAAACTGTCAAAGAAATAGGTTTGATACACATTTTATATTATACTGCTGAGATACAAAAGATATTGTCGAAGGGCAAATTGATACCCACATATGAAATATTGGAATATTGGGGTACATTGTATATAAATTATACTGATCTATGTGGCAAAACTTAAAATCTTTCTTGGAAAATTCTCTTATTTTTATACTTCCATTAATTACAGTTAATTGTAAGGTAGATTTATGATCCTTATATAATAAGATGGACAGATGAGCTTATGTCTATATTAGCCAGAGAAATGTTAAAAATCACATTTTATAAAAATCAACCATAGACTTCTGAAACTTTAATTCCTGAAGTAGTAATATTCATTAACTATAAACATAAACTATGGCATATTGAAATGCTAGCTGTAATCTTAGTACAAGATTGTTCTCAGAGACTATAATATTAATGTAGAAAAGCTCCCTTTTCTTTCACAAATGTTTATAGCATGTCAAATCCCTAATTGTGTAGCAATATTGTAATTACAAAAACTATCATTGCATATATTTATAGAAATAGTGTAATTGAAAATTATCAGCTATTTATGTAAATTAATGATTTATATAATATATAACATAACATACTATATAATAGACTGCAGCTGCTTCTAATTAAACCACGTTTTTTTCACTATAGCTTAACCTATTTAAACATTGGTAATTATAAGAAATTTGTGCAATTATGGACATCCAATATAAGTTTTATATTATGAAACAGATTTTCTATTAAGATATCTGTTAACTTCATTTTATTCTTGTTTTGAAATTAGCTTGGAATATCTTCAACTCAGGACATTTTTGAAATTTTGTATAAAACGATTTGCTTGCAGATCACTGTTAGGAGATTTATATAAACATTTTTCAAACAAATAAGTTTTAGCCATGTTCTCACACTATAGCTCTCAGAATGTCTAGCAAATATAACAAGAAACTATTATATACAATGCATAAAAAGTAGAGTAGTTTATAGTTCATTCATTATTATTATACTTTAGGGATAGAAGGACTAAAACAAAAAAAGCTTTTATACTGCATTCCACATCACACAGACGCTGGAGGTAAAGTCCCGGTAACAGGTTTTGCAAATTGTAGTTGTTTAGAACTTGAGTTCTCATGAAGAATCAATAAGTGTTATATTGTTGCAGAGAGACCACATGTCTCATGCACATTCTAATACAGGGATATCAAATTCGCAATGTATGTGATGTGTCACGACGTATCATGACTTTTTTTCCATTGCTGGCAATGGGGTGGGTGTGGTTTTTGCCATGACACATTAACCCATGGGCCGGCAGTTTGACACCCCTGTTCTAATAGAAAACCTATCTTTCCATGCATATGTTCTTTTCCTAGATAGGACAAATGCTTATGTGATTTTTTTTTGAGGCTGCACCATTGTTTACCTTACTAACAATTGCTGTTTGCAAATTTCAAAAATGGGTAGTGACCTTTTCATTCAAAGTTGCCATGTTCTTTAATTTGATATTTAGTATTTTCTTGCTATAAATCAGACTTCACCCATGTTTCTGGATGTTTTTCTGGAAATCAGTTGTTCTGGGGCTATAAATGTATTGAACCATTTCTCTGTATTAATGCTTCCCTGTCTTAAATAAATGAGCACATGGTAACTATAATTATCTTATGCCGTAGCCCTTGAAATATTTATTCACTCAAATCTCATTTGACTAAGCTGTTGAGGATTTGTGAAAGATGATACAAAATCAAGCTAGATTCTCCCATCATTGCTGCATATTCTGGTATTAATATGAAACATTTCTACATAATCCTGTCCTTCTCCTTCCCCCGCCCTCCCCTTTTTTCATATAATTTATGCATCATTGGAAACAACCAAAGAAAGTAAGAGTCATATAATCACATCTCCTGTAGAACTATGTGTGTTAGATTATGGTTATTTAACAGAGCAAGTTGCATCCAACACCAGCCATACAGTTAGGCAAAGATGTTGAACAGGAAGCTGTAGCAATATAAACATTGCTTATAGTTTTGTCTTTAAAGAAAAGCTACCACTAATATCAGAAACTGTAGAACTGCAGGTTGATGTTTTCATTGAGGTTCCATCTCATTTGTTAGATTACAATTGGTATTTACTGTGCCCTTGGTTTCTTCCACAATCAATAGTGGAGAAGATAATAGCCAGGCCTCTGATGAGAAAAACTGACAACTTTTCCTCAAGCTACAGAGGATGGAAAGCTGAAATAATGTTTCAGCAATGCTAGAGAGATGTTAAAAGCTACAAAATTCTGCATCTTGCCCTCCCTTCCTAAAAGATTCCTTGGACCCAATAAAAAACAATCCTGTTGCTGATCCACAAGTAAGATTAAATTAGCAGTTATTTTGACTTCTGACATGGGGTTAGGGCAAAGGTGTCACAATTTTTTTGCCATTGCCAGCAATAGGGTGGGCGCAGTTTCGCTATGATGCATCCAGCCCTTGGGCCGGCAGTTTGACAACCCTGGGTTAGGGAATACCTTCTGTATTTAGAAACTAACAAACAAACAGCAAAACATATGCCTTGATTTGAGCCTGAGTAGCAAGAAGAAATATATCTGTTCTTAGGCAATGGGCATTTCTTAATATGTGTTCTGTGATGTCCAGTTTTGGGGTATCTCCTTGAGCATTTCATTATCATTTTGAATCTGGCTAGCATTTGTAATGTTTGTGCAGTTTTCTTCAGTCTCACCCTTGAAACACATTTCATTCCTGTACTAAATATGTTTCTTTAACAATATTTCATTTTTATGTTGGATATTTTTTCCAGAAACACAATAATGTACAAGAATTGATTAATTTTGTGCTATCAAATCAGTATCAGCTGTTAAGTGACCAAATATATTTTCCCCATGACATGGTCTTTTAGGTCTTTCAATGATGCACTCATTGCCACTATTGCTAAATTCATTCATCTTGCTGCTGGTTGTCTTTTCCTTCTCTTTCCTTCTACCTTTCTCAGCAGTAGAGCCTTCTGCAGAAAACTAGGTTTCTGCATAATGTGTAAGTAAGATAGTTTTAACCTAGTCTTTGTGCCAGTAGTTTGATGATTACTATGATCCCATCACTACTTTGATGATCCATTATTGGTTTTCTTGATTGATGAACAAAATACTAGATTATAGGTTGCTGCATTTCCTTTGGATTAATCTATCAGCTGCTAAATGTGAATAAGAACCAGGGCTGGTTTTAAGCTAAGAAAAAATGGGCACTAGCTTAAGGCACCAAAGCTTAGGAGGCACCTCTTTCAAAATCATTCTAAAATGCAGATGTTTATTTCAATGGGAAATGGCTTCATCAGTCAATGTAGGTGCCATATATCTTTGAGCTGGCCTTGATAGGAGCAAAAGAACATCAAACTCAATAATCAGTGGAACTAGAGCTTCTTTTTATTTTTGCCACAGTATTATCAATGAGTAGATACTGTAGATATTGTCTTGACTAATATACCATTAGCATTAATTTTCCACTAAAATGGAGCTTTCCATTTTTCACAATTTTAAAAGGGAGAATATAACAATCTGAGACTTTGGGATATTTCAATAAATGTGACTGAGAACTTTTCTAAAGTCACCTCATGTAGAGTAAGGTCTAGTACATAAATTACTAACCCATTTCACTGTCCTATCTTTATCTGAAAAAAAGGTTTCATTCTAGGATTTCTTGGAATACGAGTTCCTTTCCCATAGGGACACTTAGCAAAAATGTAGTTATTTTGCATGCCCTGCAATGTTCTTTTCTTCAGATTGAATGTAAGGCTGCATTCAAGTGCTGCGTGATTGCTATCATCTGAATCAGACAGGTAATGTTCATCTACTTAGATATTCTGCCCCTACAAAGATTAGTAATTTCTTGCCAGCCATTACTTCTGAATCTTCTCCCATTTGCCTGAGAATTATCTTTATATGTATGTCAAATACAATTTCACTTCCATAATTTTGCTTTGATCTATGTTACTCCCTGCACAGTTCATCATTTTCATTTGACATAAAAATTCTGTAATTTTATTATATTTCTTTAAAAAGAAAGATAAGATACACACACACACCACTCATAAACACACACACATACACACAATGTGTATGTATATACATATACATACATACATACGTAATATTCTTCCCACAG